CCTCCATGTGGCAATTTTCCAGATGAGATTTCTAAGGCCATTGTCTTTTTTATTTATATTTTTTTAATTATTCTTTTGCATTCATCTTAATTCTACTGAAGTCACGAAGGAACTCAAAACAAACAAAAAATTTAAAAAGAATGAGACAGAGGAAGAAGTTTAAAAAAAAAAAGACAAACAAACCCATAAAAATGATAATTGCTAAGTTATCATTTGCTTGCTCTTTTCCAGTCTAGCTGCTGCAGCAGCTCCTCTCTCGTCTTCCACTCTGCCTTAACTCCCAAATGGTATCAATTATCCACAAATCTCACAGGGCCTGCACCATCTGAATAACAATTCATTAACCTTCACTTTCCTCCTGCTGATTAACTCGCCCCCACCACCTCCCTGATGTAGGAGACAGCGTGTCGGAAATTCAGCCAAACTTTTTAATTATGCTAATAATACAATACCCGGAGATAATTATTTAGCCCAGGACTCAGGCTGTATATTGGATGCTCTGCTTTGCTCTCACAGGCTTTTCAGCTCTGCTGTCTTCCTTACATCATCTTGGCTGTGTCAAGGAGAATGAAGGATTTTCAGTTTCGCCCGGTGCAGGTGATCACTCCCAGAAGCTGCGCGCAGATGCGCCAATACTTGGGGAAGAACAGGCTGCTGCAAGGCTGGCCAGGGAATACAAAAAGCCACTTTAAGTTTTCAGTCTCCAGCTTTCAGCTCCAGCAGCCTCCAGATGAACCCTGCGTGGATCCAAAATCTCTCACTGCAGGGCTGAGTTTTGCATCTTACATCTGGTAGGATCCCATCTGCGCAGCTCGAGTCTTTGCACTGCTCGTGTCTGGTATGAAACTGCTGAGCACTCCTCACTTTCTAGCAGTCAAACCCCTCTCTTTTTCCAGGCAAATTTAATAAATGAAAATTGGAAAGCAAGTTTAAACCTCCAAACTTTTCTTTTTTGACAGAGACAGCTTAAAAGCCAAACGAATTTATGACCAGAGTTTTGTTTTGTACAGACACACATAACTTTCACCCAGAACTAACTCTGGAATGGCAGGATGGATTTGTTTCCAACTCTCTAGCATGCTTTCTGACAGACACATATGGGATTATTTCTATTATGCACAGGGCAAGATTCTGAGCACATGAGGTTTGGAACTTGGGTCTGAAATGAATTCACCTCTTGGCTCTGACAGAGTCCCATAAATGCATCTTTGCACCAGTACAAACTTACCTTTGGAACTCTGGGTGGTCTGTTGAGTTTATTTACCCATAAATAGGGGTGGCATTGCTTTATGAGGAATTTTAAAATCTCTGAACTGGAACTTTCTTAGCATTACAGATCACATCGGCAGTATTGAATTTTGCCATCTGCTACATTCATCTGACATCATTCCTGTATGAAGAAAAGAGCTGATTTTGCCTGATAACCAGCTTCAAATATAGCAGCATAAACAAATCTTTGTGAGATTAGACAATGCAAAATTCAGGAAAGCTTGGCAAAAATTTATATGTCTCAATTTAACAGTGTTTAAATTTCAGGTCATGATTATGTAGTCAATATCTCCATTTTTTTGCTAGGAATTTTTTAAAAGTTCAAGATTTCAAACACATTTAGACTGATTTCATCACTCTCCAGGATGTATAAGAGAGAAAACCTTTGATTATAGACATACAAATGACTTCAAAATAAGAAATAATAATGCCAGACCTTTCTTTAATCTGATAGTTTTCTTAGACATATCAGAGTAGCTGAATATAATTACCTCAGCCTGGTAAGTGTGACAGTGAAGATACAGGCAAAATAAGGCCTTGTTCTTAAATAATTTCTTAAACTCAACTAAGAATTGCTAAATCATACATGGACTATGAAGAATGTTTTCCCAGCTGCTTCTTAATGGAAGTCTACTCTTCCTTGATATCTTCATTGTTCTTCAGGAAAACCTCATTTTTTCAGTGAATATGAGCTACTTATATCATAGTGCTGCAAAGTTCATCACCCAAAATTCCAGTATTTCACAGAAAATGCACTGCCTAATCTCTCTTGTCAGTCAAACTCAATCCACTGGGAAGGTGAAAGAGCTCGGGGTGACACAAAGTGTATAAATGTCCATATGACTAAGAACTGTGAAAACAGATTCATTTTTCTCTCACATTTCTCAGTCTCGCAGGAAGTCCTTTACTCAGGCTATTGACTTCTCCAGCGCTCATCCTTAGGTATTCAGCTGTTCTCATACCTTGTACAGGAAACCACCCAGCAGCAGAAGAAAGATGTGACAATAAGAAGTCCAAACTCAACCTTTAGACCAAATGCCAAAAGTTATTTAAGAACCTGGAAATGGAAATATTTGTCTCACAGAGTTACTGAAAACCTTTAGCCATTATTGACCACAATGGAAGAGTCAGATGTTCTTGTTTAATTTGTTATGTGTGGTGCTGCATAACTAATTTCAGGCACCCAAATTTTAGCACTTCAGTCTATGCAACTGGAGAGGATCACACAGAAAAGCAGAGTCAGTGAAGAAAAATGAAGCCTTGTCTCTCTAGCCCACATTCCATTTCTCTGATTTTATTGCTTTATATCAGAGCTACCTGTGAGCAACTCTTTGCCTGCCTAGAGCTTGCTTCTGTCCTTTACAGTGGCCAGAAAATGACAATATGCAGAAATCATGTTGAGAAGGTAAACAAAGAACAATATGTGATATTAATGAAGCATTTGGGACACAACTTCAGGCCTCTGCCAGGATTGCTAGTGGAATGGTTCCACTCCCCCAAATGTTAGAGAAGTGCCTAATAAATATTTTCTGTGAAGGCAATTACTGTGAGATGGTATAAATATCTAGCTTTAAAATGTATCCAGGACATCACCATTGCTAAATCCCCAATCCATGTGAACAGACAGGGTTTGGTTTTTCAACTGATTTAACAAGATCCTCATATCTATAGATTGCATAATTCCACCAGGGGACATGAGTTGGGTATCAGTATGGATGCATTGGCAAAATTCTTCCTAATGGAGCTCGAAGACCATGCCTTCACCATTCTGAAGGTCTCCACATTTCTGGCTGCACATTTAAATTTTTCTTTCCTTTAAATTTTCTTCCTTAAGCATGTGGCTTGTCTTTTCATTGGTACAAACCTGTATTCATCCTAAGCCAGCTTGGATGAGGCTCTGAGGAACCAGACCCAGTGGTAAACATCCTTGTCCATGGCAGGGAGTTGTAACAGGATGATTTTTGAGGTCCCTTCCAACCCAAGCCATTTTGTGATTCTGTGTTGATGAACTTTCAGATTTAGATCTGGAATAAAGTGCTCAGGTACAAAATAACTGCTCCTGATTCTCTGTCCATTTGGACTGACCTTCAAAACCAAAGTTGGAGAAGGACTCAGTTAATGTATGTCTACAAACTTGCAACTTGATTTTTATATAAGTGCTAAGCTAACTCTGTTTAATTGATTTTCCACATTGTACACTGAGAAATAGGATTTTTATGGCTCTTGAATAATTCAGAACTTTGATTCCTAAGGCAAAAAAAATGGGTAAGGAATAAAAGCATAATTATCATTGTAGCAGAGGTCAAAAGGACAAGCTGGCCATAAGTTCATAATGTGCTTGTGCTCTTGGACTCATTGTGGACTGTGGAATATTACCTTGTTGAAATCTTATTACTTAAGGAAGGGGAAAAAAAAGCACACAGGCAGTTAGCTGTAAAAGAAATGGAGGAAGTGTTAATTTTTAAGCAAGTTTGACAAAGATTGAGTTTCATATGACAAATACTGTCAGCAAGACAGGATTCTGTCAGTGGAAGAAGTTTAAACATTAACAATTTCTGTCAGGCTGTTGACACAACCACGGCAGACATTTCCCAAGATGCTGAGATGACTGCTGGCATTTGTCAACAATCCTGTCACAGTGACAGCAATAAGACCATGTCTGGAAATGTGACAGTTTTGGCTTTGTGTTCCCCTGAGCATTGGCCCAGGTGTTCAGAGAAAGTGTGGGAAAAACCCGTATTTCTGCATTGTCATTCGAACGCCGAAAAAACACAGGAGGAAAATGAGCTGTCACTGCAATTCCCATGATGCCTTTCTGCTTAGCATAACTCCACTCCTCGGCCCAGGGTCCACTGGTCCATACTCTGACAGATAATTAAGAAAGCAGCAGCTTTTTCTAGACGGCTCTTCCTCATGATTTGCATTTTAGCCAGAGGCGACCAGTTATAAAAAAAACATGATGGAAAGATGGTAAGAAGCCAATTAGATGGATGGATGGCTGACTGACAGCTCTCTGGTGTTATTACTCCAGATTTCATTGTATGTAGCCTGGCAGTTTTCAACAAGAACCAACTTTTGCAGGTTTGTAGAGCTGTTAAATGAAGGACTATATATAGAATGCAATGGTTTTGCACAAATCTTTTACATTTTCCTGAAATAAACATTTATTACTTCCATTCTAGTTTAAGCACCATAATCTTTCTTAGTTAATCACAATTTACGTAGCTGCATCCAGCAATTTTGGAAGACTTTGTATTAAAATAGCTCTGTTGATGCAGCAATGATTAAAAATGAGTTGCAAGTTAAACTGTGACACTTCATGACACGGCAGTAATTAATGTTTCTAAGGAACAAGTCTGTTTTTTAACATAAAGAAAAGACACTAATTCACTTGTAGAAATAAAGTATTTGAAAAAAATACAGAGAAATCTGAATTTTGTTGTTGTGGTGGGAGAATTTGTTCTAGTGACTGTTTCCTTTGTTCTGGGGATATTTTTTTTTCTGCTGTTTTTCTCAGAAAGAAAACATTGTTTTGCACAGGACTTAACAGTTTTAAATATGAAATAGCTTGTAAATTGCTGCTTTCCAGCTCATCTGTGCAGCTCCAACAGCTGGTAGCCAATCAGAAATATTCTTCTCTGCTAGTGCCTGGTGGCTGTATCTCACTATAAAATTTAAACATTAGCAGGGCTTTTGTTACACTCCTGTGTTGTTTGTGGATTTATTTTTTTGTTGTGAATACCAAAGTTAACAAAGCACAGCAGCATTTGCAGTTCCAAAGCTACAACTGCCACCCGATGAGTAATGGCCTTTGCCAGCATAAAACGTCCCTCAGCTTTCTTTGGCTCCTGCACGTTCATCCAGAGCTGGCAATTATCTCTTGATGAATGTTTGGTTGTTTTAGCAAAGCTTCCCTCAAGCCAGTGCTTCAAGGGATACGACTTTGTGCATGTGAGTCATCTGAATCGTTGGGATCATGGGGAGCTGAAAATGTTATTCCTTCCTTTTTCTTGCTGCAATGCAAAAAAAAAAAAAAATAACCCAACAAAGCAACCCCATTGAAATGTCCTTGTTCAGACCTTAATAGGATTTTTTTTTCTCAGATAAAAAAAATAAGATATAAATCGAATTCACATCATGTTACAGGGCAGATTATACTAATGCATGTTAAATAGGAATATGTGAGGTTTTCTCTGCAACAATATAGACCATTCATAGAATCACAGAATGGTTTGGGCTGGAAGGGAACTTAAAGGTCTCATTCCAACTCCCTGCCATGACCAGGGACATCTTTCACTAGACCAGGTTCATATTCCTAATAATAGAGTAAGTGAATTTGTAGTGAATTGCTCAGAACTTGTAGAACTTCTGGAAGACTAAGAAATTTTCTCCCTGTATTGCTTTCTGTCTCACTTCTTGTTTTTACTACATCCCATGTTTCAGATTCTAGGAAAAGCCCGAACCACAGGCTACAGGACATATTGTAAACCCCCAGGGAAAAAAAAAAATTACTCCTAATGCCAAAACTTGAAAACCTTCCCATAAAATAAGTCTCCGCTGTGAAATCCTTCATCTCCTTTTTTATCATGCAGCTACACAAACTCCTTTCCCACATGATCCACTATTACACTTAGCAGAATAGCTGGCCCTTATGATTCTTCATTGCCTTTTCACTGTATCTGAAATTTTCTGCTGTAATTAAGGCATCTTTTTATCCTGAAACCCTTAGTTGTGGACTTTTTTTCAGTAGCAATACTAAACCACCATCATTGTATTAGTGATAACCCCAGTACACCATTTAACATTTACACAAAAAATATCATTTGTTGGGAGAACTGAAGGCTAAATAAAACACAAAGAAGAAAAGCTGGGGGACCTAATTAATTTTTTCCACCTTGGAGGGGAAACATGTTGACCTGTGGTGGGACTTGGAAAACTGGGACAATTCTGAAGCACACTGTCCAGGGAATTGTGATGGGCTGCTCAGGAAGTCCTGTGTAGATGAGGAAAACCTCATTCTACTTTTGCTTACCTGAATTTAAGACCTCAGAAGCTGCGCCAAAAATCAGAATGCAGGCTGAAATCTATATTCACATCCTTTGATAGGAATTTGCCACATTTCTTTCAAGTGGCAGGAAAGATACAAAGATGCTGCTCATGACAATCTCTAAATGGAAATTTCCATCTGCAATTGGAATGGCAAAGAAGACTTAGGACACAGTATTTCCAAACAAACTGAAAAGTCTGCTAATTCTGTGTTTTGCAGATCATTTAAATATGCTTTTCTCCATTAGACTTATTTTTCTCCATTACTTATTTTAAAATATGATCTGTGAATTTTGTGTTGGAGCTGTTCATGAGAATTCCTCTTATTTAAGCTCACCTTTATTCCTCTCGGTCTTCAAAATAAGAACATGAAAAAAAATTACCCATCATTTTGAGGAGCAGAATATTTTAATGACATGGAGATCTAATTAAACCAAAACTTTTTTTAGCTTGTCCCAGAAATTGTGGTATATATATAGATATATGTAGATATATACATTCAGAAATATGCACATGCATACATTCAAAGGGAAGTTTTTTGCAAATAAACCCAAAATTAAAGATCTGTCTTCAAGAAATTTGTATGTATTTCAAGAGAAACAAGATCTGGAGGGAATATGAGAAGGTGGAGAAGACGGAAGGAGGGATGTTAATGTAAATTTTCTATTATAACATTCTTCCAATGCTTATCTACCTATTTAACAATTTACTGTTAATCTAAAAGTAGATTAATTTCAATCACTTACTTATTTTCAGTCAGAAATGCTTATGAAATTTATTTCTATCAGTGAGGTAATAGTGATCCAAAAAATCCACAGTGAAAATTAAATTGGCTTGACTTACCATTACTGAAGAAGAAAGAAATAAACAGACGTGGCATAATTTCCAACTTTTTCATCTGGAAACACCCTAAAAATGGCCAAAGAAAACATTGCTAACATTGTTTGCTTGAGCTTCTTGTTTATTTATAAAACAATATTTAATTAATTAATTATATTAAAAATATAATTTACTTATTTATATTTGGATTCATGAGAGTGGGAGGACAGGGTATTAACTAGGAAATAACACAATCATTAAATGAGGCATGGAAAGAGGGGTGATAATTTGTGTTCCATTAACATTTCACAGATGATTTTATTGTGCCAGGCTGATCTCATTTTGACCATGAGTATGACACTTGAAACCACTTTTGTTAGTAAGATTTAGGGTAGAAAATACCTTTCCCTGACTAAAAACTTAAACTGTCAGTCTGAGTTTGATTCTTCTGATGTCAGATTGAGAGAGTGGGTCTGGGGATGATCCACCCTTTTATAAGGGCAAGTGTCTTGATATTTTGATTATTTATTTTTATAAGCTCTAGGAGGAAGCTGAACCTCTGGTTTAAAGTAGTCACTTGCTCTTTAGGTTAGTGCTGGACAAAAGAGGTCCCCAAGCTCCCTGTACACATGGCTGTGCTTTGGGATATCAACCTTACCCTGTTCTTTGCTTTATCCAGATCTGTGAGTCAAGGTATTGCTTGGCTCTGACACAGTGGCTGCCATTTCTTTAAGGAAAATCCAGAAATTTCTGTATAGGTCTTTTTTTTTAGTACTCAGGTCTGTCCAGCTTCTTAGAGTAATATTTTATAAGCCTAGCAGTGTTCTAAAACTAACTTTCTTTGTTCTTTCAATGTAAGTTGGTACATGGGAACTGCTTTATTATTAGTTATTATTAATACATAGTGAAAATTATTATTTTTGCCTTATTTGCCCCTCAGCAGTGATAAAGATTACATATGAATTAAAGGCAGAAGACAGTGAAGGTGAAAACTGCTTTATTATTCACCACTATTTATTATTTCCACATAATAGAAGACTAACATAACACTTCATATATAGGCAGAATAATTTAGAAGAAATTTTTTGCCCAAGATTTTGAGGCAAACACCAGTATAATTTAATGATTAAATGGATGTACAGAGCATCACACAACACCAGGCTCTTTAATCCAAATCAGCACAAGTTTGAAGGATGAAAACAACTCATAAAATCAAGCTTAAAAACAGAGCAAATGCTAGAAAAATTGCAATATGTCTTAAGTTTTGCCTAAAGACCAAGGGAAAAAAATCCTTCCATTTCCCTCATGGCCTGGAGAGCAGGTTCAAAAAGCACAGGGCACAGCAGCAAAAGGTCTGATCACAGAGGGGTTTAAAACCCAAAAGGAAAATCACAAGTATTCCCTAATTGGGAGCCCAGAGAGAGCAAAGGTAAGTAGCTCTTTCTAAAATTCAGAAGCAGGAAGAATGAGGAAGATGAGCCATTCACTGAAATGTCAAGATAAAATCGATAAAGCATTTTCTGGGAAATCAATGCAGAGAGTGGAAGACATTGGAGATAACAGAGAGGGAAATGCTTTCTCTGGAGCAGATGAAAACTCCAACAGTGGCATTGAAAACAGGTGTTGTTTTCATAATTAAAACTCAAGGGAAACCTGCCTAAAGGGAGCTGTAATAATGAAATAGGGGGAAAAAATACCCATGGAGAACAATGTCTCATTAGGAGAGATAAACTTCACACGTGAACAATACTGAGTTAAATGGCAAATTGTTTTTCTTAATGGCACTCTGGTGTGAGACAGGTTCAGAGGTTCTGCCTGTTTTGCTGCAAACTGGTGATTAATGATTGCAAAGGTTTCCGCACAAGTGTGAAAGACAGGAGTAGAAAATGAAGATGCAAGTTGTCTCTCCAAAGGGACACTTTATAAAACCAGTGTCTGGACAGAAAGGAAAGCCTTTGAGAGATTAGAAAGCCCTTCTAATAACTGGCTGTGGAATGACCCAGTTTAGTTATTTTCTGTTTGGTTTCTAGTTAATGCTGTTTTCCCCTTGTAACCGATACGCGCTAAAACCTCACGAATAAGACCCTGAGGCAATTCTGAAATCATCTGCAGTGTGTTTTCTCAGAGATAAAAAACATCAGCAACTCCAGTCCCTCTGACTCAGCTTGGTGTGCAGGTACCATGGAGTCAAATGTGGTGCACACAGGCAGAGCATTGCTGGAAACCCTCCAGGAAATCTGAAATGTCTGGGTGATTCCACACTTGATTTTCCATAACCTCATCGATATTGTCCCTCAAATGGGGATGCTTAAAGAGGGAGAGAAACTGCTGATGTCAAGAGGTGGCTTGTAGGGCAGAGGGAAACTGCTTTGGTCTGAATAAAACTCTTCTGCTTCAAACAGTGTTTTTAAGAGATGCAGTGTAGCACAAGGATTTCTGATAAGGGATTTTTGGGATAAATGTCTGCAGCAGATCCAATGTTCTCTGGTTTCAATGTGCTTAGTAGGCACAGCTGGGATTCAGGAGCTGTTACAGTTGACTAACTACCTGCTGCATGCCCGGAAGTACCAAATAAACCAATAAATCCTCAAATCTGTAAGCAAGCAGAACCACTATTCCAGCAAGTTCCTGAGTGGAAAGAAAAGATACACCACCAAGAACTCTGTGAATTGTTCAGAGGTAAAATAACTTGGCTGTTGCAAGTACAGTGACTTGAAATATTTAGTTAAACGCCTATTCAGCATCAATGTGTTTAAAATGTTTCTTTTCTAATTAATATTGTTTTATTAGATGTAATAAGTAGTAAGCAATGATACTAAATTAAGTAACAATAATTAAATGATACTAAAAATAATAATAATACTAGAAGAAAAATCATGCTTCTAAACATGAAAACTCTGTTTGAAGATATGGTTCATCATCTGCAAGGAAAAAAAAAATTAGAAGGGTGAGAATTAATAATGTTCTTACATATGTAACATAGGGTCAGTAATGAATAGCAGTGGATTTGTCTCTAAGCTGATCACTGGAGAGATCAATACTTTACTGAGTTTGGATCTCTGGACATTAAAAAAGAATGTTGGAAAACTGAAAATCATGTGGAAAGCTACTGCCAACACTGAAACCCTTGTGTTGGAAAATTTAAGGAGTTCCACCTCTTGTAATGCATCTCCAAGGCTAAACACTGGCAGCTCTGAATTTTTATTTCGCATGGAAAGAACCATATCAGGAACCATAAGAATCTTCTGCCTCATAGAGAAAAGTTCATGATGCTACCTGGAATTAAATGTAAGGCAAGTTGACATTAAGAAAAAAAAAAAAACTTATTTCATTCAGAGCTATAAATAATAAGAAAAATAACATATGGAATTGTGAAATTTAATAGAGACATGTTACTCATCATAGCAACAGGGTATTTCTATAAAGCTACACCTCCATTTGAAATGATTAAGCTGATATAAATGTCTTAGAAGACATAAAGCCTTCCTGTGATCTAAGATCGTCCAAAGATCTTTTCCTGAAGGGGGCACATGTGAACAGAGCATTTTCCAGTGTATGGAATTTCACAGTTAAAGAACCTTAGTACACATCCTTCTGCTCTGCCAGAAAATTCACTTTATTTTGGGAGTCAGTGTAGCAAACATGAATCACAACTGAGCAATGCCCCATGAATTCAAGGGGGACACACATGTAAGCTTTTGCAATTAAAATTTCCCAGGGAATGTGTAAAGGTGAAATTGTAATTATCAAACTGTAGCCTTGCCAGAAAAGTGGGACATCCTTGTTGTCTTTGTTTGCTAATTCAAACTTTCTAATTTCAAGAAAAAATCGTTCAGCATGCCTTTCCAGAGGCCTTATGCAATGTCCTCATCCAAAGCACTACTTTGAAAATTGGGACTGCTCACCCAATATTTCCTGTTCTGGACCAGGACTGGAACTCCCCAAATCCTATTCAGAGAGTGATACAAGTTATGTTATCTTACAAAGGGATTATTTCTGCTGAAGTATTCTAGCCAACCAAAACAAAATCCCCCAAAAAATATGTTTATGTTGGGGTTTTTTTTTGTTGTTTTTCAACCATGAGGTAATTATTGCTGCGAATTGGGAATCATGGAATCATTAAAGTTGGAAAATAGCTCTAAAATCGTTCGGTCCAATGGTTCTCCCAGCCAACCCCAACACTAAACCATGTCTCCAACTCTCCATCTTTCAAATCCCCCTGGGAATGGGGATTCCACCACTTCCCTGGACCGTCTCTTCCAATGCTTGACCACTGTTTCTGTGAATAACTTTTTCTTACTATCCAATAAACCTCCCCTGGAAATATTCACTGCTGGATTTTTACCTTTTTTTTTCGTTTCTTTTTTTTTTTACTTCCACTATGAATAACGGAGTTAATGGGTGGAGATTTTTCTACGTGAAGAAGCCTTGACAGGAGGTGGAGGTAGGAGGTCCAATCCTTGCCTGTGGTGGCATAAACTCTTGGTCACCTGATCCCAATGGAATCACTTTCTTCCAGATGCCCCTTTGTGTCCTGAGCAACCCACAGATGTGCAAAGAACAACAAAAGTCTCTCCAGGTAAAAGGTTTTTGAGTTTTGGAAGTCTCTCTCTGTTTTTATTAAGGATAAAAATTCTACCATAAAGAAAATATTTTTATTGGGTTGGGTCCCTTTGGCTGCTCCACACCAAGCATCTGCAATGAAATAGTTCACTTTTCTCCACATTCCTATTGCAAATATTTCAACAGACTCTCTTCCAAGTCAGAGCACTCTTTCCCCTAGGACAATGACAGTCAAATTATGCCAATCATGTTCCTCTGTCCTCTCCAGAAAAAAAATTCTCTGAAGATATTGGTAAACATGGTAGTAGTCCAAAAGTCAAGAGTAGAACTTCAATTCAATCTTACACATTTTAAAAGTAAAGATTAAGTATTGTGTGAACTTCTTTCACTTTTTGCTCACATTTTATTGTTTACTTCAAGAACAATACACAACAGTGATTACTAAGTGCTGTATGTATCTATACAGAGGAAATGAAACAATAATTTTTAGTCTAGTGACAGTAAAAATGCTTAAGTAGCCATTTTATCTTCTAGATTTTCAACCAGTTGCTTGAGTTTTCTCAGTTTTCTTATGAATTTTATGTTTTAAAAGAAAAAAAAAATGAAGAACTTTGCTGAAGCACTTTGATTGCAGTACAGCAAGAAGGGCAATTGCAATCATGGATTTCACAGAAGCTCCATGAGGAAAGTTTTCAAGTGCAGCTGTGCTTCCAAGGCAGAGCCAGCCCCAGCCCCAAGCACTGCCTTGTGGTAAAATTGCACTGTCCATTGCTGGAATGATTCCTCCACTCATTTTTGGCCCATTCCAAATGGCAACAACCCCAGAGCATCTCGGGGTTTGCACACAGAAATCATGGCTGGTAGAAAATCCAAGTGCAGTTGTTGGTTGTGTAGGGTGAGAAAGCTGATCTGTGTGGATGTGAACTCTGCCTTGCATCAGGCCCTGGCTAGTTTTATAACCACAGAATTATAGTAGAGTAATAAATTGTTATTAAAAGTAATTGCTAGTATAGCCATAACAGATAAAACTTAATTTATTACTTTTATAGTCAGACCAAATATAGTTGGAAAGCCTGCTGCTGGGTAGTAAAAGAGTCATGAGAAAACCAGAGCAAGGGTGGTACAGGCTGGTATTTCTCCAGTACCTGCCCCAGACTCCA